AAAAAAACACATTTTGAAGCAGCCTCGAGCAAGCCCCTTCTGGCAAGTTTCGAGGCTTTTGGGGGATTGGGGAATTTGAGGGGCTTGACGGGTTTGAAGGAACCCTCCACACCCTGAGCACTCGTACCTTCTCTCACGCGCTCCCCTTGCAGTCGCAAGGGGTCGGCGGATATACATATATTTATATAATATATTTAAACAATCTATTAATTATGTTGGAGGCCATCGCTATTAGGTTGGAGGCCATTGCTACTAGGTACAAGTATACTTACATGAAAATACATATTCATCCCAATCGGTCCGTTAGTCTTCCAGACTCCATGCGAGGCGGAATCACGGTCGCCACTCTGAGATCTTCCATGGAAGAACGCCCTGCCATTGCTGCGATTGGCATCCCAGGAAACTGAAGCATCAACTTGCAATCTAAGGACATTAATCTCGTTTGTTGTGAAGTCATGATTGTGTTCCTTTGGTCATGTCTTTTTTGAAGTTCTTTTTTTGGCATTGACCAGTTGCAGGCGGAGAGAATGGGATGTTGTAGCTGGGTCAGAGTGATGACAGAGCGGAGGAATGTGACGATGTGCGTGTCCGCAGATCGTCAGTTCGGAGTTCCCCCGAAACGCCGGAGTTGAGGGATGGTGAAAGAAGTCGTGAAGGTCGTCTAGTGGGCGTGGAGAAAGAGGTACAAATATGTAAACCTCCAACCTACTGGCAATGGCCTCAACCTACTAGCAGTGGCCTCCACCTTAATAGAGATGGCCTCCGACCTACTAGCGATGGCCTTCCAAATTTGTATGATTGCAACAAGTCCCGGTGCTTTTCTGGAGCAGCTTTTTCAGCAGCGGGCCAAACCATATTGCAACATTTGCCTTGAGCAACTGGTCTATACTCTTCCCTGATTGGTCAAAAGAGGTCGAGGGGGTCATGACCGACATCGCCAGTCAGACCTGATTCAGGACTCAAAATTTTCGACACCACATCGTGCATGCAGCTTTTCTGCTACAGGTCCTACTCAAAGTAGCTCCTCCAGCACTGTTTGCATTAAATCAGGAAAAAGGTGCTAGTATTCGGCATGAAGCTGGATCAAGCCAGCTAGTCCAGCTAGTCACCTGCAGTACCGAACAGCTCGTCACGATGCTTTTGGAGCAGATCACTGAACATGCTTCGCAGAGACCTCAGTCGCGAGCCACCTGAATTGATTTCCGGTTCTTGAGGCTCAAGAAAACGATGCAAAGAATCCTTCACAACCGGACAGCACTTGAACCATATCCGCTGCCAATTCTTTGGGCGAGAGACGGTCATCACAGTGAATTTAAAGGAGCTGAAGTGAAGCACTTTGCCAAGTGCTTGACCCTTTATCTTTCAGATGCCATCTGAATCTGGGGATCATGTTGTCCAACAGCAACTCCCTTTTGGTGAATCTAGAAGCCAACCGATTGGCAGCGGGGGCCTAAAAGGGGATCCCTCAAAGGGGCCCCAAAATAGGTCCGAAGGAGGAAAAGCACTCCGCCGCCACACCAGTTCTACTATAGCAATGGCCTCCAACCTACTAGCGATGCCCTTGTTACTAGTAGCTTCTTGTTCCTAGTAGGAAGGCCAGGAGCTACTAGTAGCGTCCTTGTTCCTAGTAGCGATGCCCTTGTTACTAGTAGCTTCTAGCTACGTTCGTAGCGATGCACTTGCTCCTAGTAGTGATGCACCTTGTTACTAGCGATGGTCTCCAACATGTTCTCACGACAAAGCACCGCACGCTTCACGCTTTCGCACGCCAAGCTGCCGTCGGCATCCGGGATCTGTCGCGCAGATTGCGCGCGCCAACGAAACTGCCACAGAGGTGCTGCAGGGGGTACCAGTGCCACACGTGTTTGGATGGACGGAGATGTTTGCTACATATGATTAGATTAGCATAATTCATTAGTCATCTGACATTGAACCGAGATGATCTCATGCGCGCGTTTTAGTTGTCACTTGAGAGATAGCAATGTAAATCTTCGTGACTTCCTTGTAAGGATCGCCAAGATATTTGGTCAGTCGAAAGCTTCAGGCTCTTGCACCTTCAATGGAACCGGTGCTGGTCCTCAGCTTGCGAAGTGGCGCGATGGCCTCCAACCTAATAGCAATGGCCTCCTACCTAATACCAATGTCTTCTAACCTAGTAGCGATGGCCTCCACCCTACTAGCGATGGCCACCGAAGCCGATGTCAGACCCATTCTGTCCAAGAAGCCAAGAAGCGTCGTGTTGGTAGGGGGAGCTTTCGGCTTTGCGGCTGCTGAAGAACCTGAAGAACAGCACGAGGCGACCGTTCTTTTTTCCCAGCAGAGCTCCATGTCTTTCATGGCATAGGAATACCGTTTCTGCACATATACAGAGGACTCACTAGTGATTGACAACAGATCACATTTCACTTGTAGACAGTAAGCATACATTGTTATTGTAGAGCTTCGCAGACCGGCGATGCCGGTTGGGCGCGTGTTCGCTATCGTGTTCAGTTTCTGATTCTTTTTTTTGCGGCTGTCCGTTGCCTTTGTACTTCTTGCTTTGTTATTAAGTTGTCGTTCCTTTCGAATGCGCGCGCGCGCCCCCAAGACCTCAAATCAAACAAGAGACCAGGCAAAGTCCCTCAGGCAGGTGGTGGAGAGACCTTTTTTAATTGCAAAAAAGATAGAACACACGGTAAATAGCAATGTTTTTTGCTGCTAGAGGCTTCAAAAGTGCCCCAAAACCACGCTATTTGCGTAGTTTTTTTGTGGCTTTACACCAGGAAGCCACGTAAATACCGATGGTTTTGAGCTATCGAGTGCTCAAAGCCACGGTATTTACGAGGTTTTCTCCAAAAACGCGATATTTGCTGAAGACACCTGCTGAAGAAGCAGGATGCGCTGCAGAAGCGCTGTCAGCGCTGTCTTTGTCTTACTTACTCCAAGTAGTGGTCGGCGGCACGGGGAGGGGAAGGGAACAAAGAAGGAAAAGGAAAGTAAGAGGAACGAAAAGGACATGAACAGGAACGAAAAGATGAAAGGGAAACGAAAGCGGGGCAAGAGGAAAGGATTACCAAAAGGGAAGGAGAAGGAAATGAAAAGGAATCAACAGGAAAGTAAACAGAAGTCCAAAGGAGACGAAGAGGGACGAAGAGGAAATGGACTGGAAGCAAGAAGAAAGCAAAAGCAACCAAAAGGACGTGGAAAGGAAGCAAAAGGATATGAGAAGAAAACCAACGGAAGCAGAAGGAAAGGAGTCGAGCTTCGATGTTTTTGCAGCAAATACATGCAAATACTATGTTTCTTTTTCTTCTTGCCACCTCATGCAATCTGATGACTTTGTCATGTCTTTTGTTGCATCTCTCGGGGATCCTCCACTGAAGAGTTTTGTACCGAGTTTGCCATTTTTAGCCATTGGCCGTTTTAGCCAAGCACATCATCACCACATCCAGCCACGTTTCTGCGTACTGCCAAAGGCAGTCTAGAGTCTCCCCCGACGTTTCATCCGTCCAGGGATCACCCCCAAAGAAACAGTTCCTTTCATAAAACCAAGTCAACTTCCCCAACTTTGGCCAAGCTTGTCCTGGCGATTGTCTTTAGACGCCGCTATGCCAGAAGAAACGCTTTGTTACTTTGCTCGATGTTGCCTGCTGCTCTGTCCTGGGGCGGCTTCTTCCAAGCCGATGCAGCTGCAAGCCGATGCTGGCGCACCTGGGCCTCCACGCTCCGCTCTGTCAAGGCAGCGGACCACACCAGTCCTTCACCGGTGGCCAACTGTTGCGGTTGGAGATGAACACCACACAATCTAGAAGGACCGGTCATGTCATGGAATGAATCCAAAAGACGACATGCAAGCTTGTACGTGTTGGTGCCTTGGGTCAGTAGTGGGGTGTGTTGCAACCGAATCCAGAAGCCAGGCCGATAGCAAACGGGTGTTGAAAGCCTTCGTGTTGAGGAAGTACCCGTAGCCTTCCCTCAGCAATTGGCCCGGTATCATAACCTCTTTTGGCTACTCTGGATTTTGTTCGCTTTCCTCCAGCGGGTGAGCTGCTCGAATGCATCTCCAAGCGCCTGACCATATCCATTGGAGACATCTCCAAAGACACCCTCATCCAACACCATCCCCCTCAGATGTCATCGGGAAATGTCGGGAAGCGACATGCCGTGGCAGAAGAAGCGCAGTGGTTTCAAAGGTTTCAGCCCTGCCTGGACACAACTAGTTCAACACGTATGCAGCCAGGGGTCCAGCCAGGAGTGTCAAAGTAAGGACTCATGTTTGTTGCGGTTCTTTGGAGACTTTCTTGTGAAGCTTCCTGTGGTCACATGAAAAACCAACAAGATTGAGCGCGCAACCCTCATCCATGGGGTGTGACTGTTTGGTACTACTACGCACCAAGGGGCTAATCCTGACTGAGATCCCAGGCCCTTTGATTGCTTTGGATTACTTCGACATCGGCACTTTGCACTGCAAAAGAACCGCAGACCCGTGATGGCGGGTGATGGAACCGCAGGCAGAACACGGGAGAAGCAATGGCAACTTGCGGGGGACGTTTGGAGGTTTGGTTCTGTCGTCCCTGGTAGCACGGGAACCAACCAGCACCGCGGACTACACACACGTCACATAGTGACATAGTGCTTTTGTTGCACTTTGCTTGTGGCTACGATTTCTTCTGCAGGTGTTGGGCGGAAAATGGGCGATACTGACTCGTGCAGTCTCTTTTTTTTCAGGGCTTTGTTTTTCAATGACATATATTTCGGTGTGCTACGTCAACATCTTGCGCAACATCTCGCCAAATCTCCTCATCATGCCGCAATATCATCATGGAATGTTATGACATTTCATGATGATTCATGGCTTTGGGATATCTCTCCAATTTGGAACAGGAACAGGCCAACGCGGCCATGTGGCGTTCCATCGAGCAGTGCCACGTAGATGTCATGGGTCGGTTCGACCGAGAACACGGTCAGCAGCTTGGCGCTGGGATGACCAACAGTTTTCATCAGGATATATGGATGATATACTGATATACAATGATATACATGGATAATCATGGATAAATAGATATTTATGTGGATGGTATATTAATGTTTCATGATGATATGAATGATATTTGGATGATATATTATATGAGTGACATGTGAATGATACATGAGGTTATATGATATGTCTATGTATATATACATTATGGTTCTTTCCATGTAGCCATAGGGGTACCCCCCCCCCCCAAAAAAAAACCAGGCATGAATAATCATATTCATCACGTGGAAGGACACCCATTTGGCCATGAGTTGAAGTGCCCCTGGTACCCGGGTGAGCACCTGGTATGGTTGGATGTTGGCACCAATCTAGCATCACCCTTCCCGCCCATGCCATCATTACGGACCATCCATGTGGGCACCAGGTTCCCTGGAGTTTCGAATAACGCATGGATGATGAACACCTTGATTTTTCATCGTTTTGGGGGCCCATGGTATGACAGGCAGCATTTACCTGTACATTTGCCCCACGCAATCACCCAAATACATAAAAAGATGCTGGTATAAGCACACTGTGAGTTGATGGTACCTGCTGAGTAGGCCAGCACCTTGGCAGAGGCCAAAGATAGAATGCGTGAAGGGTTAAAGGTTCTCATCCAACCAGCTTCTAGTTCGTGTCAGGTGTACCGGAGGGCATGAGGGTGAAATATGTGGGCCTGCCCTGCTTGGTGGATGCCGATTGCTTCACCCAGTGTCGCAAGCCCGCGTTGCAGAGCCTGCAGCCCAAGGTGGCGCTGAAGGAGAGGGTCCAGCTGCCAAAGTCGACTAACCATCGCTTCGAAGTTGATGGTTAGACAAAAAGAACGCAGCTGATTTTGGTTGGACCAACTGCCTGGATTCGGTGGATTTTGATGATTTTTGCTCCGCTAGGAGAACAGCCGGCTGAAAACCTTGGTGTTGGGCCGCTGCGCCGTTCCCAGCGACAGCAGCTCGGTCTCGGTCCGCAGCAGCCAGTTATGGCCGATGCTCTCAGTGGGTGGTGATGATGGTTGATGATGATTAATGGTGATTAATGGTGATTGATGATGATGATGATGATGATGATGATGATGATGATGATGATGATGATGATGATGATGATGATGGGGGTCCACTGCCGCAGATCAACCACGTAATCTCAGCTTCGCGAAAGGCCGCCACGTGTACCTGGTGCGATGCCTTCCGCGCCGCCTCGGTCCCGCAGCGAGATGTAGAATGAAATGAACAAGAAGCATGCAGATGTACATGCGTAATCGAACATGGATGACATTTGTGTCAATATTAGTTACATTCGCATACATCAGTTCATAATATTCTCTTTGCGCATTGCGCCTGTTTTATATGCGTAAGCATGTGATATCATATATGCAGTATGTTCACGTGCGCTTGGGTATGGAATGGTAGCTCGTTTGGGACAGAGACTCAGCAGTCGAATTCAGATCTCTTTCACAAACCCGATGCAGGTCGGATAATTGGGGGTACACCGAAATCATCCATAATTAGATTTTTTTGTGGAAAAACCATCAGCCATAGGAATAAGTACACCAGCCAGGACTGGACAAACCCATGCAGAATCGGTTAAAAGATGGAAGGGAGCTTGCCTTTTGTGTCTTCAATGCCTTGGGAAAGGTAACCCCAATGAAGCCTGGCAAGTTGGGCGTATTGAAATTGCAAACGCGTGCGTACCGACACACGTAGACACGTCCCACCAGAAGGATATAGCACATGCATGATCCGTATTGGATGGTGTGGGAAGCATGATGAGACTCGCAGGTATTCGCGCACATGCGGCTAGATAGAGGATGAACTGGTGCCGTAAGTGTTTGCCACCTCCTAAGGGCTCAAAATATCGGGCTAAAACACCTTGATTTGGGCGTACAATATTTAGTTAGTTATCAGGAGCTGTATCCTTGGTGATGGAACATTGAGTGTCCCTCGTTGGCTTGGGAAGAGGGTGTCAAATCTGAGGGAGAAGATGGCAATAAGAGAAGCAAAGAGAGATTCACCTTGTAGATGCACATGTTTCTCAAAAGTGAGCATGGCTGCATTGATTGCAATTGATCCTTTTTGCACGGGTCGGGTGTCGAAAATCAGCCGCAGGAAAGCAAATACACATCATCATCGTCATCATCGTGTGAGCCCCATATCCATATCCATCTAAATGTATCCGCATATATCCGCATATCCATGTATCACGCACATTTACGCATGCACGTTCACATCATCACATCAATAATGTATAGACATATCTACTTTTTTTTTCAAATGACATATTATCTGATGATATTTGATATATCACACATCACATGTATATATAACTATATATATATAATGTACATTATACATATTATACATATACCCATATATTTTCCATATCTGTATCTCCATCCATATCCCCATTTATATATCAGCTTCGCCCTTAGGAAGAGGTGGTGGAGCTGCTGGCGACTGAGCTGGCGCTAGACCCCCGAAACCGCGATGAGAGCTGGGTGCTCACGGCGCTCACGGAAGCTTCGCAGGGGGGAAGGCGGCTGGATGAGATGTTGCTGGATTTTTGGTCAATGATGGTGGCGGTGATGATATTGGATGATGATGATGATGATGACGACGACGCTGCTGCTGATGCTGCTGCTGCTGATGATGATGATGTTGATGATTTTGGGTGATGTGTTTAGAACTGGTTGGATTGGGTTGGATATGTTGGATGCGGGACTGGACAGGGAATGGATGGCTGTTGGGTTGGATGATTTGATGCGGATTTGATCAGCTGCATGAACTCCTGGGTAACTTCGATGGAATGACTCGCTCGTTACTTCTTCCAACTTCGCTCGCGTCCCAAGGACAAAACCACCTCCACCTTCGTGTGCGTCGGGCCCTATGCCACACCTGGGATGCAGGTGCCTCGTTGACCAATTCTGGGGTCCAGTAGCGGCGCGTTTTAGCCATTGGGTGTCCATCGCCGCTGCCTCGCAATCATTTGTCATCGGCTAGCGAAAATGCAACATTTGATAAACAATAAATCCTTTTCGGTGGTTTTGACAGATTTTTTCATTGTCCCCACCATGGCTGGGATGATGCTCCCTATTGACCAGCATGGTTGTCAGGGGAAACACCAACCGAAGCTGATTAAGTTGGCCCAAAGCTGAGCCCCGAGTGACACGATCTGCTTCCCAAGGTGACTCAAGAGCAGTGCTTGAGTGCCCAAGGCTGCAATTGGCATCACGCGATCAGGCCTTACCTTGGCCACATTTTGAGGGTACAATGAGGATCTAAAGCACATCGTTTCTATGGGAGAAATGCCAGAATATGCGTCAGTTAATCGTCATATCGTTTTCTCATTATCTGTTACCCCTGACAACTTTCGGGACTTCGCTGATTTGGAGAGGACGCGCGACGAGTGTCTCGCGGATCAGTTCCAAAATAGCTGGGCTGCAACGTCCTCACGTTGATGTAGGTTGACCCTGGGCTAAAAATGACCCCCTTGCTGGGTCGATGAAATCCCGGATAGTTAAGCCAGCTGGTTGTTACAGTAAAACCATCCAAAAAAGGGGCTGATGGAATCCCAGTTGATAGTCAATCACAGGGAAATTGATCAATGATGCTCATGAACCGTGCTGTTTGTTCAAGTTGGTTGTTCCCCTGGAGCTCGGGGTCGCCGCGGTTGACCATGGCGGAAACACCCTTCGTTGCGGCAGAAGTTCCACCGGAGTTGGAAGCCCTCAACTTGGAAGGGCGTGAGCTGGAGGAAAGAAGTGGTCCATCAAGTGCCGCGTTCAAAGTGCTATGTTTTCTGTTCGCAACGCTTTGGGCAGGCTTGGCGCTGGCTTCGGCATGCTTTATTTTTCCTGGCCTCATCATGTTACCAATGGCCTTTGATGCGCCCGGCTCTGAAAGCGATCCCCGAGTGTATCTGTCGCTATTCGGGATGATCACCTTTCCATGTGCTGCTGCACTCAGTGCTGGTCTTGCATGTCTTTGCATGCGTGATGGCAAGCTGCCATGGCGATGGATGAATTTCTTGCTTGCGCTGCCTGTTCTCAACGTGCTGATGATCGTGAGCTGGAGCTAGGGCTGGCGCGCAGTTCGGCTGGGAAGCCCTTGAACAATTTAGATTAAGGCACTCGTTCGCTGCAGAACGCTAGAGAATGTGTACAGGAATGCAATTTCAGCTCTCTTTTGGTGTTTGCTCAACCGTTTGAAAGTGCCAAAGCGCATTGGCCCTTAGCGTCGCAGACCGCTTCTCTTTTCGGACAGTCCATGTTGATCCAAAAATCGAACAAGTTATGTATGGGTTTGGGTTTGTCATAGTTTGTCCATGTTAATCATGTACCTGTATGGGGTATGACTGCTGGAGCCATGACATGGCCCACCATTCTCAGGTTCTGCGGGTGTCAAGAAGGCGCCCACGCCTACTCTGCAAGTGGCTTTGGGAGTTGTTTTCCACATCCAGGGGGGTTGACCATGCTGTTGGTACTGGCAGCACTTCTGGACTGGCAGACTTCCACTTGCAGCGGTACACCGTATATGTCACATGTGTTAGATCATCATTGGCAGATAGACTGATGGACAACTTTTTTGCATCCCAAGATTCGCCAGTCGCACATGCCAAATCAACTGCAAGGCAGCAGAGTCGCCGAGCGGGCTGCATCACGGGCCAAGTCTACACCGACTACTGCAAAGAAGCGCGTGAGCTGCTGAGACCTCTGGAGCTCGCAACTATGGCGCAGTTTGATCAGTGTTATGTTGGATCCATGATGAGCCAGGATGATGATGATGGTGGTGGTGGTGGTGGTCATGATGATGATGATGATGATGATGA